GAGTTATCCAAGGTATTGGTGGAGGTGGGATTATCTTACTTAACGACATCATCATCACCGATTTGGTCCCCATGAGAGAGCGAGGAAAGTACTTTGGTATCATTGGGGGAATATGGGCCCTGGGAAGCGTGACGGGTCCAGTCATTGGCGGAGCATTGGCGTTGAAAGCAGGCTGGGTAAGTCATCGTCCGTCCCATCATGCTCGCGTGAATAGCCATGATTCCACATCCTAACACTAAAGTTTCTGCAGCAATGGCTCTTTTGGATCAACGTGCCGTTTGCTGCAATTGCACTCTTTGCTATTCCCTTTTGCCTCCGCTTGACGAAACCACCGGGTGCCGTTGGAAATAAACTGAAACACTTCGACTGGCTGGGAAGCGTCTTTTTTGTTGGCGCAGCGACCTGTTTTCTGATGCCACTCACATGGGGTGGAGTCCAATATTCCTGGAGCAGCTGGCGAACGCTGTTTCCCCTTCTCCTAGGCGCCGTCGCGCTTGTGGGATTCTGTTTGTTCGAGCGCTATGTGTCTCCTAACCCAATCGTCAAGCTCCAGCTTTTGAACAATTACGAAATGGGTTATAGTCTTGTAGCAGCCGTCATTAATGCTGCCATCGTATATGGAGCCCTGTACTTCCTACTACTATACTTCCTAGCCGTCAGGGGCTACAACCCAATTGTAGCTGGTGTGGCATTGTTTCCCGCGACGTTCACTGTAGCGCCATTATCGATTGTTGCTGGCGTGGTGATCACGAAAAGAGGCGAGTATCGCTGGGTGACTTGGATTGGTTGGATAATCAGCACCTTGGGCCTTGGTGTTATGATTCTCTTGGACGTTAATATGAGTACAGTCCAATGGTTCTTTCTTACCCTTACGACGGGCATCGGTCTGGGGCTTTTATACACTTCTCTGGCTATCATCAATCAAGCTGCTTCGCGCGACGAGCTTATGTCCTTTGCAATCTCGATGTTCATATTCGCTCGTATGCTGGGCCAGTGTTTAGGCGTAGCGATATCCGGTGTTGTGTTTCAAAATCAGATGAGATCTAATTTACTCAAAACAACATTGCTTGTTGATAAGGCCAATGAATATAGCCGCGACGCTAGTAGTATCATTCCGTTGCTGCAATCAATGGCTGATGGGCTGGAGAAAACAGAACTGGTGCAGGCATACGCCGATTCTCTAAAAATTGTATGGGCAGTCATGTGTGCTCTTAGTGGTATTGCTATGATTGGCAGTTTCTTCCTGAAACATATTAGTCTCGATCGGGAGCATAAGACTGAGCAGGGTATAGATCGTAAACAGTAGCAATCTATCTAATAACACTTTGTTAAAATATGAAGACAGATAATTTTTGCTTGTGAGCTGTGGCATTACCTTGCTACCTAGTCAGCTGCTGGGGGTGAGAAGCTGTAATGATAGCCAGACTGAAACGCGCAACAACACCAGAAAGCAATCAAAAGTAATTTGGTATATTTCCATGCTTGTCTGAGCAACCGCTCAGTTCTGGAGTGCATTATCTCATGCTCGGTACTGTGTCTATTTCCAAAGTAGTAAGTGATACTGTTTGCAACATCAGAAGGAATCTTAGTAGGTACCTACAAATGGTTCAGAGCCGGATCATCGAGTCTAGCCTAGTGCAGCTGAGCAGGTGGAATAGTTATCCGAATGGAACGTTCATAGGTAAAGCACATGCCAAGCTGAAAGTCCTCGTGTGTTTGAGACATCGAATACAGCTGAAATATGGATATGTCAGAATTCGTATGTACCCACCATTTGAGATCCCGGGGGAGCTTATAGCTGCCGCGTGGGATTTTTAAGCCGAATATTTGGTCCACAAGCGCTTTTGCGTGCCAATGAGATCTTTATATCAACGTCAAATATCTTGGTATGGAAAAGCTACCTAGGTATCTTTTATGGTCGATGGATGATATTGAAGTAATAAAGCCAAGTCGACTACCTAGGTAGACAGGTCGTCGGAGTCGGTAGATCAATCTTCCGTCCGAACCTAGGCTCGCCTAAAACCAACCCTGAAGGTCCCTTGGATTTCTACATCTTTTATTGTCAAACGGATCATTCACATACCACAACGTTTTCTGATTCTTTGTCGTATTTTTGTACAGATACTTACATCTTGCTCTAAACATACATTACCTACTCCCTTCCAACACATAATAACCATGGACGAATTCGCGCAGTCGCGTGAAGACGATGATCTTTTCGCAGACGAATTCGAGCCTCTACCAGAACCAACAACAACCATTGAGCCTCCGATTGAGACGCCCAAACCAGCTGAGAGGGGACCAGCAAGACAGGCAGGACCAAACGAGGCACGCGGAGGTTACAGAAACAATAGAGGACAAGATGCGAGACGAGCGCGGGGTGGGAGAGGTGGGGGAGGGGTAAATCAGAATGGACTCGCTCAATCAAGATACGCACCTCAAAACGAATCAAGGCCAGCTCCAGCAGCAGCACCCGTCGTAACTCCTGCTGCTGAATCTCCAGCTGCTGTGCCAGAGAAAAGCGCCGCAGAACCACAAGAACCAACGCGCCAGTCTCCTCCAGCGACTGAGAACACGACCCCTCAAATACCTACTCAGCCAGCCTCGACACGTATCCTCGCCGTTCGTGGAGACCGCTCAGCAACAGGTGGACCCGCGCACAAGAAATTGACAGAAGAAGAACTTACGGCGAAACTTGAAAAGATGGCTATTCTCAACGCTGAGAAGTCCGCGAAACATCGCGCACAGGAAGCAGACCAAGCAGCTTTCCAACATAGGGAAAAAGAGTTAGCGAAGGAGAGACGGGAGAAGTTAGTAGAGGAGAAGAAGAATAAGAGTCAGATGGAAGCCGAAAGGGCGAAGAATAGGTTGAGGAAGATCCAGGCGCAAGGCGTAAGGGAGTGGGATAGTGAGAAGGTGGAGGATGATATTGTCGACAGTCGGAGGGCAAGAACTAGCGAGTATGTTCGTGGTGGACATGGCGGCGTTATCAGAGGACGAGGCGGTCTTGCAGGAAGCCGATACGCAGAACCTGATGATGTTCCCGAAGAATCTCACAACTATAGGGGCAGAGGAGGATTTGAGATCCGTGGAAGAGGAAGTCGAGGAGGTAGGGGTGGTGGCAGAGGTGGAAATTCCGGAGGTCCCCAACCAGTACCAACACAAACAGACTTCCCCTCACTACCAACGCCCACCAAACCTGTCGAGTCCAAGAAGGAAGCAACCCCAAACACATCAGCAGCCTCTAAAGCCCTTCCTTTGATGGAGAAATTAGACGGGGCATGGGCAGACGAGATGGCCACACCGGTAGAAGAGAAAAAGGAAATTTCAGGATAATTGGGAAATACCCGGCAGGGGCAACGGCGTTTACATTTTGGATATCAAAGCGAACCATGTCTACGGACACAAGCGATATTTCAATAAAAGTATAAATAAAAATATTAATTCACAAGATCAACTAAAATAATTGCGTGATTCCCATTGTCTAATCGCCCCCGTGCTACGTTCCAAAAACCCCCGCTGTTTTCACTGTTCACAAAACGTGAACTTTCATACTATGTACATAAAAAAAGCCGAGCAGATCTCCCTCCTTCGCCAATCCTAGAAGATGAGGAAGAGAGCGGAAACCCGTCTTAAACATACCGATGATCCTATCCTACCCAAGGGTCGTGATCTCATAAAGGTATCGTGGTGAAAGAAAAAATATTTGTCTTCGAATCAGTCAGGCAGGCATTCCTGACAAAAATAAACACACCCGCCCACCGACCAGACCCCGTACTCCGAGCCCTTTCTATAACGACGACACTTATGACATACTGTTAGACAGGACGTCGTCACATTCTTGTCACACTAAACGATACTAACGCCTTTGGAACATGAGATCAAGCAGCCGGCGGATTCTCGTCATGAGCTTTCATCCTGATTTCCAAAACATTACTCAAATGCTTCAGATCAATCCGAGCTTTCTCATCCGTTCCTAGAATGTCTCGAATAATCTCCCATTCGACAGGCCGCATCATATGTGCCATTGGCATTAAGAATGCTACGGTCGGGGCTCCAGCGAATGTACCGAGGATCGAGCGAGCGATTGGTTCGTTTTGTTCCTGCAGCCTCTTTTGTTCATCTCTCTTCGCTTGATCTGCAGCTGATGTAGACTCGTTGTTCTGGGGCGGTTGTGGTGTCGCGAAAGTGCTGGACTGTGGTTGAATTGGTGACATGGCTGGTGGGGCGCCGCTTATAGACATTGCTCGCTGCGCATGACCAGCTTGACTGACGACTGAAGGACTTTGTGCTTCTGGCCCATTGCTAGGAGTCTGAGCTGTTTCTGGGTTCCAGTCATTGTTACGAATGACAAGTGTTACTAGCAGAGTTTTTTCGGTTCTGTTCTCCGGAACCCTGTGTTCTTCTAAATTATAGATAAATTCAGGAATAGGGCTTGGACTTGGCAACATTGGGATAAGGTATATATCTCTGACGTTGCCAGTACCTTTATCTGCCAGAACGCCGTATCGCTCCCTGCTGTGAAAGTAGTCAAACAAAGCTTTGAAGCCGTCGGTGTCTGGACCATCAGTTGCAGTGATTGCAAGCACAACGACGTCCGTGGGCTGACTATATCTGAGACTGCATAGATATTCGTTCGCCTTATCTTGCATAATACGGCCGGCGACCTTAAGGTCTTTTGAAATGATTTCCGTCCAAGGTTGTTTCCTGCTTACATCTACACCCGCAACAAGCTTTGCGAAGGCTGGAAATTTGGCCACAGACTCCATGACGACGTTGCCTCGCCAGACAATCTCCGGGTCTGAAAAATCTGCAGCGGGTGAATATGGTGGAGATACATCATCAAGCATTCTGTCGATGTCAGGGTCCTCGCCAGGTCCATTTGCAGGCGGAGCTATATTGGTAGATTGCCTTCGATTATGGTGTTGCGCATTGACGGGTGACTGAACACTAGCATATACCTTGTTAATATCAAAATCAGCTTGCGACGAGGCTTTCCTCATGGGAGGTTGGTTAGGCTTTGTGTCTACCGTCAACGGCTGCCTTGGTAAAGCCGAGCGAATGTCATCCCGGGAGTGATAGTCATCGATATCTGCTGGGAGCTCGACTTCGTCGCCCTCTGTGTTTCCTAATGGTGGAGTTGTCATATCCGCATTTGGATCCCGCATACTTCGACTGGTTGCAGTAGCCGTTGTAGCCTCATGATCCACGAAATCATCACCTTCAACGACCTCATCACCCTTATGTGTTCTTCGTACTCTAGGTGTATTGTCATCTTGAATCATTATAGACTGCTTATCTAGAGCTGCTTTCATCTTGGCCGTTTCTCTTTTCAGCTCTTTGCTGGCCATGTCATCGGTGCTCATCGTAGCTAGTGTTTTTGGTACTAAACTACGAGTGAGAAGACCGTTGCAAAGCTCTTGGTTCTGCTTGAGGTTGGAAATAATGGCCGTAAAACGCGTTCGATAAGGTTCTTTGTCTGGATATGCTGCTGTGATTGCGTCTTCTATTTGGATAGCCAGCCTCTCAGCTTTAGAATCGATTGTGTCACCCATGTATAATGTGTAAACTCCGTTTTTGATGGCAAGCTTGATACAAGGAACTAATCTCTCCTTGATCTTTTTCGCGACCCCTGCTCTCATCGACTCGAGATCCATGATTTTGACAGGAAGGTCTGAAGGCGGTGACTTCTGTGGTTGAGTAGCTGGTGTGGGCGACGTTTTCCGAACCTTTGCTTGAGGTTCCTGCTTTGTAATGTTAGCCTATGAGTCCTCAACAATTGAGCAAATTGAATTACCTTGATAGACTCCTTGTCTTGAGATTCATCCCTCGCCTTTCTCTTGGTACTGGCAGATCTTGCGACCGGTTTCTTCTCTTCAGCGGGTGGAGGAACGGATGCTGATGGCGACTTCGCTTTCCCATTTGTTGGTAGATTGAGCTCGGATGCCTCACTTGCTCTTTTGGTAGATTTCCCTTTCTTCCCACCCTTCTTTTTCGACTTCTTTTCCTCTGCAATCTCCTGATTCACCTTTGCACGCCTTTCTAACCAGATCTTTTTACCCTTCTTAAGACCGTCAAGTAGCTCTTTGTGAGGTGGAAATGTTGGATTGTGTTTTTCACAACGATAATGTTCTGGGGCGTCCTCTTCAAATCGACTTACTCCAACGCAAATATTATGTTGCCATTCATTGCAAACATCACACGCAATCCATGGCTCATCATCGTCGTCGGTTGTCTCCGTGACGCCGCAAACACATCGAATGATCTCTGGTTCTTCGTCCTCCGGCTCTTCTGTTTTCTTCGCGGTCTTCTTGGTGGCTTTCTTCTTCGGCGCAATTGGCTCGTCTAGCAGATCTAGACTTTTCGTATGTTGCCCTTTTGTCGCGCGGACTGACCGTCGAGGTTCATCTGTTGTCGAAACAAATTAGCTTGGCCTGTAATGCGATTATAGAACTGGCGCATCGTCTCATGAGAAGAAATATGTGCCGTTATGGAAGGATCGTTGCTTACCAGCCATTACGGGTGAATGTGTTCGTTACAGTAACGATACAATATTACGCCAATCGTGGATGGTTGCTGGTTTACAAGAGCGGCAAGAATTGAGCCAAGTTGATTTCAAATAGAGGAGTAAGAACGCGCAGCGCCTTTCTTTCACGCGAGAATCACGGGCTGAGTGGCTTAAAGACAGTGCAGGTGGAGGAGCGCAGTGGAAGACGAGGGAATAAAGCTATCTCAGGGAATGAGACAGCTGCGCGGCGTTGAGTCCCTTCCTTATAATCTGGCTCACGCGTGCTTGTGTTGATATTCGTCGATCCCCTCACAACGGACTCGATGACGAGAACCGACCGAAGCTAGGTGCGAGAGAAAGAGCTGATAAACCTTGGTCGCAGAATGTCCGCGACAGCAATAACACTGTGTTGAGGCGCGATTGATCGTTGATGGCGCAGGTTGGTGGTGGGATTGAAGTTGGGAGGTGGAGTTGGACGGCAATAATAGAGAGGTCGGAGGTCGAGTCGGCCGGAATATTGAAGCTACGCTTTGCGATACCGAAGCGGGGGATCACGTGTATATAAAAGCGGGACTGGACTGAGCTGGGCTGGACACCTCGAAGCTCGAAGCTCCATTTGTAGACTGTCTGGAAATAGCCCTGGGTAAGTCAGAACTGCATTTATTTGGCTTTCCTCATCGAGAGCCACAATACAATAGTCAACCACCAAGCAATCATCAGTTTCGCAAACATGGCAGACGTTCGATCTCTCCTCAAAAACGAGCGCGCGTCTCGTCGGATACAGCACAAGCACGCATCCTACACTGCAACAGGAACTCTTCTCTGCAAAGTCTGCCACTTTCAACTAAAATCCGAATCATTATGGGATGGACACTTGCGCTCAGCGGGACATATTATGCGTGTTCAAAAGGCTCAGGAAGCTCAGGACACCCCTTCCCAGAATCCTGACACCGCATCACCAGTTCCTGTCGAAGCAACTAAGAATAAGAAGCGGAAAGCCAGCGACGACGATGACGGGACTATTCATAAGCGGACGCGAGCCGCGAACGGTTTGCCTGAAAACTTTTTCGACCAGGGAGGCAAACCTCTTGACTTGTCATCCTCGAATCCAATTAACGAAATTCGAATTCCCTCCCGCCCTGCAACTCCACTCAAACAGTCACCTGAAATACCCAAGCAGCCTGCAGTTGACGAGCTAGAGTGGGCAGCTTTCGAGGCCGACATCGCCGCGGTGGACGTCCCTGAAGTTGATGACGGAGTAGTGATTTCCGCTCAACCTCTTTCTGCTGCTGAATTGGCGGCGCAAAGTACAGCAGATGCGAATCGCCAGAGGAAAGAGAAAGCTGAAGCAGAGTTGGAAGGTGACAAGGAAGACGCGGCCAGGAAGATAGAAGACGAATTAGATGAGATGGAAGGGCTGGAAGAAAGGGTTCGAAAGATGAGAGAAAAGCGGGAAGCGCTGAGGAGAAAAGAAAGCGTGCTGCAACTTTCCTCTACGACCAGCCATGAGCCTAAACACAACACTGTAGAAGAAGACGACGACGAGGAGGAAGAGGAGGAGGAGGACGATTGGGATGGCTTTCGATTGAAAGGTTGAGAATTGGCGTTCGCGTCCACCATTAAGATACCCATAATTTCATACTTCTAGCAGCATCACGCAGTTTCCTAATTAATGATCCAAGGGGCTCATTTCGGTCAGCCCACTGGTGATTCCAGAATTTACTTGGAAGACAGGAAGCCCTTCACCAGGCAATGTGCTCTATGTCTTACATCGAAAAAAAGATCGAGTACATCAAAATTGGAGACTCCTGACCGCGGACAGGTGCTATCACGTTTGCATTGTTGATCGGAAACGGAGTTTAGATCATTTTAGCTCCATCTCATGCGTCGTACAAGAAGTCGTAATAG